CCGATCCTCACGACTAGAAACTCATTCATCCTCATCACCTGCCGAGGCTCGGTCCCTACTATGGCAGGTAGGGTAATTTTTCCCTCCGGTCTGACCATGTTACTAGAGAAGTTGACTAGTGAGACGTTAGCTGGCTGGAGGCGCTCAGGCGTTATCTTCATCTTCTGAAAAGCTTCGTAGAAGAGAATGTCAGCCGAGGAGCCAGTGTCGACAAGGATCCTCTTAACTACGAAATTTGCAATGATGGCCAAGATCACCAAAGTGTCATCATGGGGGATTGTGGCCCCCTTCAATTCCTCGTCCGTGAAGGAGAGGGTTTCCTACTGTTTGGATTTCTTGGGACAGGCCCGTGGATGCTCAACTGCCTAGCGTAGGCCTTGCAGGCCGATGCCGAGGCTCCACTTGAGGCTGTACCCCCAGTGATGACGTCAATGATGTTGGCTATCTGCTGGTGCTACTATTGTTGATGGGGGGATGAGGCACCGGGCTCGCCACCCACGAACTGCTGAAGGTGCCCTCATTGGATGAGGGATTCTATCTTGTTCTTCAGATCATAACAACCCTCTGTGTTGTGGCCGGTGTCATGGTGGTACTTGTAATATTTTTTGGGATTTCCCCTCTTGGGGTTCCTCTTCATCTTCTCAGTCCACTTCATGAACTTCTCCTCTCTGATCTGCATCAGTATTTGCGTCCGGGTGGAGTTGAGTGGTGTGTATTGGTTGTAAGCCTGGGCCGAGAATAGTGGCTTCTTGTGGTCCTTGCTGTTGTTGTTGTTGTGGTGGTTGTCTCCACCTTTCCTCTTCTTCTTTGGGGGCCCATTGGGGCGCTCGGCCTCTCTTTCTTGGGGGTCCCCGGCCGAAGCCTCTTCGGCCRCAATGAATTTTTGGGTCTTCTTGAGGAATTTTAGCTTCGTCTACAGCGGGGTCTTGGCGATCGAGCACTTCAGGGTCGAACTGGGTAGAAGCCATTGATGGCAGCATGCATGGAGACCATGGGGTCGAGGTCAGAGACCTTGAGATCTTCCTTCTTGAAGCAATCGGTGTAGGACCGCAAAATCTCATTGCTTTTGCTTGATAGACATTAACGAGACGATGCTTTTCGGGCATTGTCTGCTGCTGATGAAGCGAGCAAGGAATAGGTTGGCGAACTGCTCCCATGAGTTGACCGACCGAGGCCGGAGGCTGGAGAACCAATGACTGGCGGCTCCCTTGAAGGTGGCCTAGAAAGTTCGGCACATCAAAGCGTCGGAATACCCATAAAGTATCATGAACGCTCTAATACTCTCCAGGTGGTCGTTGGGGTCTGAGGTCTCATCGTACATTTCTAGTGTGGGAGCCTTGAAGTGCTGGGGGAGAGACTCGGATATTATATTAGGGGTGAAAGCATCCATCCTCCCCGTTGGACTGCTCTGGTCGGCCGAGGTGTCATCTCGGCTCTCTCGAAATTGCTAGAGCTCGTCTTTGACGGCCCTGAGCTTGGCTCGTAGTTCCGCAATCCGAGGGTTAGCTGGGACTTGCCACCCGTCTTTATCTTCACGGGCACGGTGAGGGTCGACACGAACTTCGGAATGCTCCGAGGTGGGACCGTGCGCTTCCCKTCTGGCATGGCGATTGTTCAGGACGTCACATAGGTTTGAGACCGACGTGGGAGAGGTACGGTGTTGGCCCTTGGCTCTTGAGTGGGCGTTGCGTCGACCGAGGTGCCCGCCCTTGTCCCGAGGGTTCTCCCTCCGGCAGCGGTGGTGTTGCTCAAAAGGTTGGCGGTTGTCTTTAGACTGCGCTAGCTCTTCCTCCCTTCGGCTGGGAGGTCTCTCGTTCCTACGTGGAGAGATGGTGGGTCGGTTGCTGCCCGACTCGACAAGCTCGGCTCGTTGGGGATTGGCTAGGCCGAGTGCTGGGGGCTCGGTGTACTTGCGCCGACCCTGGTGATCTGACACCTTGGCGGGGCGGTCGCTTCGGAAGGGACCTCCTGCCTGCGGGTAGGCTTGTTCCACGCTCTGTGTGAGGTATACCAGGCGGTCGAGGATTGTCTGAAATTGTTCATTTGTGACCAGGTTCTGGGGGTTCTTGGCTCTTCGTACCATGGTGTTTGAAGCTTTAGGAGATCCTGAGTTTGTGGTGTTTTGGGGGATTGTCTTAGCAATGGTTCCCATAGACGGCGCCAATTGTTGATTCTCGGTTTTTCTGAGGGCAACAAAGTAATTTCACTCCCAATCTTCAAAGGAGGGCCGAAGGCTTTGAGGGTCGGGGGGAGATGAGCCGAGGCCGAGGTGAGTCGTTCCTTCGGATGCTGTAGAAGCTAAGGGATGGTACTGAGAAGGTTGTCCGAGGGAGATGAGATGTTGTTCCCACTATAGTGAATCTGCGAGGGAGAAAGTGTTAGAGGCCTCGGGTGACTACCCGAGGCGAGGACTCCGACGATTAAGTTAGTATGCGCACTAGGTAAGTGATGAGTCTGGAACCGAGGGGTCTAGACGAGCTCTCAGGTAGCGCTAGGTCCTTAGAGGAGAGAGCACTAGATATACAAAAGTTTTCCAATCATTCACCTTKTGGGGGGTGCCTTGCATTTATAGCTGGAGCTGCTAGGGGGTAATTGGGCTCAAATGGTCTAGATGCGAGCCGTATGAGGCCCTGGCGAGATGTTCTGCCAATGCCACGCGGCGCCCTTCAACCGGGTCCGCGTCAAGTAACCCTGAGCATCCTCATGATAAGCCTATGCGGGCATCCTCCATTTGACATGCGTCAGCTTTGTACAAACCGGCTGAATGCGCCTACATCAAGTACAAACCAGGCGAAACATGCACCTGGAAGCTTGCTTCACCTTATCGATCTCCTAACTGCAGCTTCGATAACCATTTTCATTCAAAGGAGTTGGTCCTGTACCAAATCAGGTTTAGGTATTCCGCACATCGTCTGGTTTCAGGCCAAAATTTTGAATTAAGTAAGTTCCAACCTCAGTAATTTCTTTCTATGTTATTATTATTTTTTTTTCTTGCTAGACTATGTTTCTTACATTCCTGCAAACCCTCAAGATCAAACCAGCTCAACTGTTATTTTCTTTTGGAATCCCCAAAGATGTATACTTTGGATCTGTTAATGTAAAATTTAAATCGGTTATCCCTCATAGTCTCTGGTTCTGGCTTAGTTTATTGAACATTGCTTCCAATTACTCTTCTTGAATTTAGATTTAATTGGTAATTGTTTTTAGCTTATTTGGACTATATCCTGTTATGTAATTTCTTTGATGCCGAAGCAAAGGGAGACTGCAAAGATTTGCAGCATCCCAGGTAGTGAGCTTTCTTAGTTTTTTTTTTTTTTAACAAAACAATGTATTAGCAAGAGAGAGAGAGAGAGAGAGAGAGAGAGGAGCAGAAGTGATGCTTCTGAGGGAAGGAATGAGTTGCCCATTCAGAATAAAAATAAATAAATAAATAATAAACAAATCAAATAAATAATAAGCAATAGAATTGGTTAATTAATAAATAAATACATAAATAGATTCTACAATGAAATAGTTAGAAAAATAAAAAATAATAATAAATAGATAATATAAAAATAGAGAAAAAACTTTGAAGTTAATAATTAGGGAAATTAAATAAAAGATAAAAAAATGAGAAATAATAAATAATAAATAAATAAATAAAAACAATTAGAAAGGTATTTATTGTGATGTTTTATTCTTTATTTGTTTTGCTTATCTGTCCCCTTAGTCAGTAGAATAGTTGTTTATTTGTGTCTTTTGTGTTTATGCTTGTTTAAAAATACTTTCTGAGCCCCACCTATTGGACCCAGGAGATGGGTGTCTTACCTAGACCAGTTAGACCATTGTCTTTGGTTTTGGAGTCACTATCAAATCAAACTATCTTTTAGAAGATCATTCTCGGAGGTGCCATCACCTCCATTTCTATAATTGATGGATGACGACTCCAAATCCAGCTCAAGTGAGCCATTTTTTCAACGTTCACAACAGCGGTTCAAAAACCATGTGTAAAAGTGCTTCTTTAAAAATACTTTCGTAAAAGTGATTTTATAAAAGTGCGCTCGTAAAGGTGCTTTTATGAAAGTACTTCTATAAAAGTGCTTTTATAAAAATACTTTCGTAAAAGTGCTTTAACAAAAGTACTTTCATAAAAGTACTTTTATATAAATGCTTTCGTAAAATTTTATTAAAGTTCTTTTGTGTAAAATTACTTCAACAGTAGTCCACTAGTTTTTACTTGGGCTTTGTTTGTTTGTAGTCTATTTGATCCGGTTGCAAATTTTGTTTTCAATGTTATTTGTACTCTTTACCTAATAAAAATTTTGCACTTTTTTCTCATTCACCCATTGGCAATGCAAATTTTACACCCTAAGATCTGATGTAAAGTTTGGATCACTTCTTCCTATCTTAATTTCTCTTGATATAAAGTAGGCAAACGTCAGTTTACTTCTTATTTTATTTTACTCCTCCCAAACAAATAACCTCTCTCTTGCTTTCATCCTAGGTGGAGACATCATCAACTTACTTGCCATTTTACTCAACCACACAAACCAAAGTCAAACATAAAGCAAGGGCAAATCATAATTTATACTCGTCCATTTGTTCTCTCATCTGTCATGCTTTTTTCATAAAACATCATATGCACTTGGTTTAAGATGGATTTGTCATTTTCGTTGGTAGGCTGTGCGGTGAGGACTCGAACAAGCCGAATCGGTTTTCTCTTAACTTGGCCAGTTCGAACCAAGACGAATTGGTTTTCTCTTAAACTGGCCAGTTCGAACCAAGCCGAATCGGTTTTCTCTTAATCAGTTGCATACGTCCATGGAGAAAAGCTTTTAGCAGATTGACAGATTCACAGACCTCTGAGTGTCTGATGAAGCTCGAATTGAAAAATGGTTTTCTCCTGTTTTGCCGAAGAAAAGCAACTCTAGTGAGAAAGAGAGAAGGAACCCACCAAGTCTGAGAGAAGAAGAGGTGAAAGATAGTTTCGGAGAAGATGAGGATGAAGGTTTTTCTACTGATACGAGCTCAGGAATAGGGGGCACTTGTGGCAAGATACTCTTTTTCAATTGAGGATTCGTGAAGGTTTTTTCAGGAATTTCCTTGCCAATCGACCAGATGGCACTTGGCACTTTGGCAGGGGATGTTTAGAGGTATTTTTGTTTCGTATTCCTTCTTTGTTGTCTTCTCTTCGGGACCAACTAAAGGAGAATATGAGGTGCTTATCCAAAATCCGCTCTTTAGATTTGTATTCTGCTGAAAGATTATTTAAATTTCAGGTCTCAGAATGCCGATGTTTTTCCCTTTCAAGTCTTCATCCATCTGCCAAAATCCCAGAGAAACCGCAAACAGACGCCAGGGGTATTGATCCTCTGTTCCGCGAGATCGTAGAGATTATAGGAACTGATAATCTCAGACCTCGAGAAAGTCCAATTGGGGTTCCTGTATCTCAAGAAACTCGCGTAATAGCTGCAGGGGTAAGAGAGGAATTACCACTTGGCATTGGATGTGTTCGTCAATTTGCCGATGAGAGTATCGGACTTGATTATGAGAAAACATTGATACCGAAGGATACCCGGTTGGCAACTCCTGATGTAAATGATGTTAGCCCTATTGTTCACAAGGTAACAGAGATCGTGCGGGCTGAAAATAATGTAATTCCCATGGAAGAACGTTTGGAAAACTTGGGCATTCAGTTCAATTCAAATGTTGTGGAGAATGTACTGAAGAGATGCTTTAAAGTACGAAACTTAGCTTTTAGGTTCTTTAAATGGGTGCAGCTCAGGGCAGGGTTTCACCACACTACTGGGACTTACAATACAATGATATATATTGCTGGGGAAGCAAAGGAATTTGATCTCGTGGAAAAACTAGTTGAGGAAATGGAGAACAATTCATGTCCGAAGGATATGAAGACATGGACCATTCTCATATCTCACTATGGGAAGGCAAAACTTATTGGCAAAGCCTTGCTGGTCTTCGAAAAAATGAGGAAATCTGATTGCACACCAGATCGGACAGCTTTTAAAATCATTATCCAGTCTTTATGTACTGCAAGAAAAGCAGAGATTGCATTAGAGTTTTACAGGGAGATGGTTCTTAAGGATATGGTGGTAGATATAAATTTGTATAAGTTGTTATTGAACTGCTTATCAAGGTCAGGAGATTTCTCAGCTGTTAGAATAGTTGGAGAAGACATGATCAAAGTCTCTCAGATTCCCGAGAATATAGTTTATTCTTGTCTTCTGAAGAGTTTCTGCATTTCAGGGAGTATTGGAGAGGCCTTAGAATTGATTCGCGAACTTAGAAATAAAATGATAACCCTTGATTCTGGAAGTCTTGAAATTCTGGTGAAAGGGCTATGTAGGGCTGATAGGATTGGTGATGCTTTAGAAATTGTTGATATCATGAGGAACAATCACATTCTTGATGGTAAGGTTTATGGGATTATCATCAATGGTTACTTGAAGAGAAATGAAATTTCAAAGGCATTGGAGCTCTTTTCTAGTATTAAAGAATCTGGGCACTTACCCACAGCTTCTACTTACACCGAGCTGATGCAACACCTCTTCTGGTCAAATGAGTATCAAAGAGCCTGTGAGCTATATGAAGACATGCTTGTTAATAGGGTTGAACCAGATACTGTGGCAACCATGGCTTTGGTTGCAGGTCTTATTCGCCACAACCATGTTTCTGAAGCATGGGAAATATTCAGAAATATGAAGGAAAAAGGAATCATGGTTACTCAGAAATCATATTCAGTATTCATTAGGGAACTTTGTAGAGCTTCAAAAACAAATGAGGCCTTTGAGCTTTTGAGTGAAATGTGGAATTCCAAAATTAACATTGGAGATGGAATATTCCAWTTGGTTATATCTTCTTTAGATAAGAAAGGAGAATTGGAGAAAGCAGAAAAGGTCAAGGGAATGAGCAGAGCCACTAAACTTTGCACTCAACAAGATGAATCAATTGGTCTACCTGCAACTCATCAATCCCTATGTGGAGGGAGTGACATGGTTTTTAATGCATATGAACCACAGCAACTTGGTCAAAGTGTAAACTCTAATCAATTACAGCTATGCAGGACCAATGTTCACTTGGTACAGTCATTGCCTGAGGTTTATAATAACCATGATCTGCAGGAAGTATGTAACATTTTGTCATCTTCCATGAAATGGTGCTTAATGCAAGAAGCATTGGAAAAATGCAAAATCAAATTCACTCCTGAACATGTTTTAGAGGTTCTTCATAAGTGTCAAAAACATGGTTATGCTGCATTACATTTTTTCTCATGGGTGGGTCAACAACCTGGTTATAGACACAATACAGAAACCTATAACATGGGCATCAAAATTGCAGGATGTGCAAAAGATTATAAACATATGAGAAATCTTTATCATGAAATGAGAAGAAGAGGCTGCTTAATAACATCAGATACATGGACTATTATGATCATGCAATATGGTCGAGCAGGCCTGACAAAGATTGCTTTGAAGAAATTTCAAGAGATGAAATTTGATGAATGTAAAGCAACTAGGAGTATGTACAAGTATTTGATAATAGCCCTTTGTGGGAGGAAAGGCCGTAAAGTGGATGAGGCCATCAAAATGTTCAATGAGATGATTTACACTGGGTTTATGCCTGACAAAGAATTGATTGAGATCTACCTTCATTGTTTGTGTGATGAAGGTAAGTTGTCAGATGCTAGGAGATGTGTAGAATCCTTATGTAAGGGAGGCTTCACAATTCCACTTGGTTATTCCTTGTTAATTCGTGCTCTTTGCCGAGCAGGGAGGTTAGACAAGGCTCTTGCATTAGCAGAAGAGATAGGGGAAGAATGGCCTAATTTGGATCAATATATTTATGGAAGCCTTGTTCATGGAATGCTACGAGAGAGAAGGTTAAATGAGGCCCTTGCTAAGGTTGAAACAATGAAACAGATGGGTGTTTATCCGACAGTCCATGTATACACGTCCTTGATAACCCACTTTTTTAAGGATAAACAGGTTGGGAAGGCCTTGGAAATGTTTAAAAAAATGATGGAACAGGGTTGTGAACCAACTATTGTTACTTATTCTGCATTTATTCGTGGATATATGAACATGGGGATGGTTGTTGATGCCTGGGATCTCTTCCACCGTATATCATTGAAGGGACCATTTCCTGATTTTAAAGCTTATTCAATGTTCATAACTTGTCTTTGTAAGATAGGTAGATCTGAAGAAGCTTTGCATCTTATTCATGAAATGTGCGATAATGGGATTTTCCCTAGTGCTGTTAATTTTCGGACAGTGTTTTATGGTCTAAACAGGGAAGGCAAACAAGATTTAGCTCATACTGTATTACAAAAAAAATGGGCTCTTATTAGTAATAGAAAGTTTCTAAAATGAGTTTACATTCATTTATTCTGGTCCATATGTATTTCTTCCTACTCACCAGAAAAAGACAAAAATCTGATGCTTCTTTTCCAACTCAGACATTTTGAATTGTCATCAAGCAGATTTTTTATTGAAGG